TGTATCCTATTAATTCGCAGGCCAGAATAAAGTAGATAACTCAGAATATATTGCATGAAGACATTAAAAATATACATTTTGTTTGATGTTGGGGCATAATTATTACTCTATAAATATCCATCTGTCAACACATCGATTACGAATTTCCGTGATGGAAAGTTTAGCACAGGGCTTTTTGTCGCTGGTCCACAGGGTTGCATCGACCATGTGTCCACCATTTTGGAAAGCGGTTTTATTCTATGACGTCATTTGGTGCGCAATTTGACGTTTTTGATTGGTTGGGCGATTGACCTCATGTCACATTTTCATTATAGATGAAAGTGCTTGACAAAAAAAAAATCATGTAAACAATGAACACATAGCTACAAAGTAGCCGTTAACTTTTTATTTCTTGGCCAGTACATCAGACTTCTGAACCGACGATCTGTACGACTAATACCGGAATTCTGCCATAAATTCACTCATCCGAAAAATCGCCATGGGCGGTTTCACGGCTGGTGGACCCATATTTGGGATTCAAATTTAAAAAAAAATTATCATCAAATATTTGTAGGGGGGCTTATATTTTCATTGAAAAATCCACCTACACTGATTTTCAACACCGGCAGTTGGACCACCAAAACGAAAGAAACTATTGCAGAAGCTAATCTAAATTTGCTAAGTTACATTTTTATACAATTCTTTTTTTTGCTGGATTACAAGTAGACAGCGCATCTTTCTCCAAAAAAATCCCATTAACGAACATGGTGCGCCAAATACAATTATTTTGTTTCATTTTATTAGTAACGAAAGTATATTCTAAACGAACTGCAACTGCATTGCTCAGTAGCAAATGATTGCGGCATCGCAATCCGGTCATGCTGCGTTTTACCATTGTTGATTATTACCTAGTAATTATAATAACGTGCAAAATATAAATTGTTATGAAATGCAAATAAATTTCAACTTATTTCATCGCAAGCGAATGATTCCGATTGCATTTTCAGCACTCGATGCTGTAGAAATGAATATCCGCCATGTTTGACCTGACAGGTCAAATCGATAATTAATCAATGAAAATGATGGAAGACGCGAACGTGTTCAAAATACTATACAAATGTAGCTCATTAAAATATGTTAATGTTATTGAACGTAGAACGGAAGAGATTTGCCAATGTTGTACGATCTTTTGGCTTGGATTTTGATGGGAAAACAGCATGATTTGTTTTCAAATAAAAAAATTAGTTGGTTTCAGAAGATAAACTGAGCATCTGAAGAATAATTTAATAAACTCATTGTTGAAACAAAGCTAACCCATTCACGCCAGTCGCAATAAACATCTATACTCTTGAAAAGGCGTCAATGACTACGGCAAAAAAGTAACAGCTTAAAAAACTGCAGAAAAAACGTCAGCGGTTTCTTGGTCCTATTTTTTTAATAACCCGAACTGCCGTTAAACGGCCCTGGGTGAATTACGGCAGAATCCGTAATAATGTTGTTTATACAACACAAACCAAACGTGTCTGACGGTGCTGCCTAGAAAAATTAAAAAAAGGCAGTGCAGCCTGACGGCTACTTTATAGCCACGTGTTCATTGTTTGCTTGTGTTCAGAGTGACCTTTGCCATTTCACTGTCCCATTTCAAGTGTAACATGGTGCGTTCCTTGACGCAGTGCGTGTTCTCCGCCTGACTATACGCCATGAATGTCGCTAACCGTGACTCTCAGAGGCACTAAAACAACATCCTGTTTTCCAGTTCATTGGAAAACAAAACAAATCACTAATAAATTTATGAAAACAGCTCCTTTTTGAATCGATCTAAAAGTACTCTTAATTCGCTCACCAAAAACCAAAAATTTCTGTTTTTACACTATTAATTCGTGCACTTGAAAAAATAATTATTTTTACTCCCGTGAATTAATCAAGTTTTTACGGTATGATGTATAATGAATATATAAAATTTGAACATAATCAGTCAAAGCATGTCAGAGATATGGCCAGTCAGCCATTTTGAATCCTTGATTGGCTGAAAGTCACATGATCGGAGCACGATCTGGGTCACAGAACCATATTTGTCCGTATTATCAACAGGACCTCGCAAAAGAACCACACCCACATTTTCAATCTTTTTTAGAGCGGAAGTTGCCAACAAATGTAAAAAAACTCATGAATTTCATTGATTCGAATAAAATAAAGCAAGCGATTGATAAAAATGATTATTAATATTTTTCCCAATGCTCTTCGAATTTTTTTTTTTTTAATTGAAGGTAAGAAATGGCTAGTTGAAGTTGCATCGTCTTCAAGGCGGCTGTTTCACCGCGAACAACTCTAGTTCTGTTGTAGTTTTGCGATGTAAAATAAAATATATATTATAATAATAATACTTGTTTAATTATTTGGAGTTTCAGCCCACAAATTACGGACATGATCCCCATGAATTCAGGTCCAGTGTTCTCCCCAGGAATTTAAACCACTGTGGCGGACTAATTTGCATATGATTTATACCAATAATTCCTTATACTCAGTCATGCCATGAAAAAATGTTACTTATTTTTTTATATGAAATAAACGTAAAATTTATCACTCGATCGCTTCGGTGAAAAACAAAGACCGCCATGATAATTGTGACGTGTTAGTTGACCGGCATGTGTCCTTTGACCCGATGGGTCAAAAACGCCATTAACCAATCAGAATACAACATGGTAATGCCGGCAGAACCCGAAGTTTTCCGAATGGTAGAGATCATAAAAATTACATTGCGGAAGTAAAGCGATGTCGTAGCACAATGTGTTGGTATGGATTTCAGATGAAAACTGCATGATGGTTTTCGAAATAGGTGATAAGCAATTTTTAAAAGGTAAAAGAAGTCTTGAAGAAGAGTTTTTACATGATTCGCGATGATAAAAGTTCAAATGTATTTTACCCAATCACGCAATAAACACGTTTTTTTCTTGAGTAGCGTAAACAGATCGTGAACTCCGCTTTGCCCATGTTATATCGGGGTGGAATTGATTTTGAAAAAATGTTAGCTTTCAATCTAAAGACTGCGTCGATCGTTAAAGTATTTACTTACGAACAAAGCGGTGCTAATTTTACAAAAGCCACTACCACATCGTGGGACTACGTCTATTGTTTACAAATTATAATCCACAACTGGCAGGATGCGTGTCGGTCGGTACGTCGGACAATAGTCCTGGTCGGAAGCGTGGAAAGATCCCTGATAGCTACGTATTTCTTTCTATATTTCGTAATACAGTTCACAGGATGAACAATGAAAAAAGCACTGTGGCAGTCTTACTAATCACCGTGGCGGCTCGAGACCACAGTGGCGGGCAGGAAAAGCAGCGTGGCGGCCCCGCACACAAATTGAATGCTGGAGAGAACACTGCTGATCAATGTTTGTCCTGTCTCGGCTGATTGTGTTGATCGACACCCTTCCTAAACTCAGTATGGAGAAACCAACGGGGATCGACATTCCAAACAAATTATTGGGACACGGTCAACAGACACTCCAAACAATCAAAATTATCAACGAAAGACAAGATTTTTCTAGATATTTACAAACATACTGTCATGACAAACATATGTAAAATTAACAAATACACAGAGTCAATAATTATACAAAACACATTGCGAAGACTCAACAACCAGGAAAGAAAACCCATACAACCATGTTGTACTTATGTTGAAACATAATATCACGTCATAATATTGTTTAAAATAAAATATTCAGTCCAAGCCAAATCAAGGTCAATGGGTCAGATTGTGTGCATATAATTATAGTTAAACAAAAAGAAATTTTGTCAGCTGTTCAACATCTATAAAACATAGTTGAACTCTGGTGACCTTGCCCTTTGTTATATAATATAATTCCCTTTATCATAGTTTGTTTCAATATAAATATGCATTGTCATAATTAATTTTGAATACAAACAAGTTTTGGGGTTGAAACAACAGTGGGGAATGAGTCTACCGAATGTCCTTAAAAGATGTAAATATCTTACAAAAACATTGGTGCCTTATTTGTTTAATTATTTTAAGGGACATAATTTCCAGCTTTATTCAAAGTAGTTCAGATATTTTAGTATAAAAACAAATGTCTCATTGCAAAAAAAAGTGCTGCATTTAGATGTGAATAGATTCATAAAACATGCAAGATAACAGAAAATTTTAGCTGGCTTTAGTCAGTGTTTCCGTTAGATTTATTTTTCTTGCGTATTTCTATACGCATTCACCATTTTTTGTGCGTACAATGTTGCAAAATATGCATAAAATCGAAATAGGTGTGAACAAATGTAAAATCAACAACATGAACACGTGTCCAAGATAATAACTGTTCTAAATTTGTAACATAAATAAAGGTAAGTGCTATTTTAAACGTTTTGTGTCCTCGTAATTACTGTTGTATTTCCGTAACACAAGGATCTCCACGAGTTATGTTCGTCATTATTAATTTCGTGTATTGTTATTTTCGACGCTGACGCTGCTGTCTGAAAGATAACATGGCTTCCCTAAAATCAAAGTCACCAACTGCAGGCCCTTCCATTGTGATCATCATTAGATCGTTTATAACTTCTTCGTTGAGACGGCTTCTTCTTGAAGTTTTAATGCGGTTTTGCGTGCTAAAACCACGCTCACAAGGAACTGATGATACCGGAATTACAGCTGCAATAACGGCTAGTTTTGATATATTTGGAAACACTTCGTGGTAGTCATTGTACAATAACGTACACACATCAATAAAG